TACATCGGGACTTAGGTTGGTCGAAAATGCTAATATGTTAGTAAAAATGTGCACAAGTAAAATAGCTTATAGCTAACTCTGGTGCAGCTAAAAAGCTGTACATTGTCCCAGTGAAATAAATAACAAATAAATACATAAATACATACATATATAAATTAGATTTTTTTCATGTTTTTATTTCCAGAGCGTTTTTCTGTGCAAAGAGCATTGGAGCTACTTGGGTTAATTGATGGAGACAACTCAGATTTGGAAGACTTGTCTGACAACGATGATCCCATCTTGGATGCCAATTATCAACCCCCACCACAGGAGCAAAGCAGCAGTGAGGATGAGGATGAGAGTAGTGATGATGAGGACCCCATTCCTCAGCCCACTGAGCACAGCAGAGGGCGTAAACGTCTCCGTGGTGCAAATAATGGTTAGCCAAGACCCAGTGGATATTTGTTTATTTTAGGCAGGGCCTCAGGGCTAGGTGAAGGATAGGAAGCAAAATGCTTATTTACAACACTTGTTGACAGGTTCAGGGACAGGGACAGGGACAGGGACAGATACAGGTTCATCCCGCACTCCCAGACGGCGCCGTCAAACTCAGCAGATCGAGGCTGATCGCTCCGATGATGACTCGGAAGAGCCAACACCAGGACCAAGCACTCAGGGACAGCCCAATAAAGGTAATTGTTATTATTTTAGCATGCCTTGAGGGTACATTTTCAAATTTCATATAAACGTCCACTCAGATTCAACTACGTTATGCACCAATACACCTCAGTGAATTGCTTGCATGGGTAAAAATATGTAACTTACTTTGCAATAAGTACTATTTGTATTCTGATTCTGGTTGTGCAGGACGTGGGTTGCGCTGGAGGGCTACTCCATTGACGCCAGACCTTGCCCAGTTTGAGCATGAGGACGAAACTGAGCTTGACAGGAATGGCTGGACCCCACTAAACTATTTTGAACAGTATATAGATAGAGATTTGATGAAAATGATTTCAGATTGCTCTAATGCTATGTCACTGTCTAGGAGTGGGGACCCACTCAACACCTCTGTAGATGAGGTTTACCACTTTTTTGGTGCCTGTATTTTGATGTCCTGCATCCGATACCCAACAATCAGGATGTACTGGTCCAAAGCCTTGAGAATCACTGCCATCACTGACAAATTCACGCGCGACAGATTATTCAGACTGAGGGGATCAATACAAGTGCTAATTGATGATGATGTGCCAGAAGATCTGAGGAAGAGGGACAAATTCTGGAAGGTGAGGCCTTTTCTGGATCGGATTCTGCAAGGCTGCAAGTCTCAGAATCGACCTGAATGTGCATCTATTGATGAGCAGATGATTCCTTTCACAGGAGCCTATACAGACAATATCTGCCAATGAAGCCAAACCCAGTTGGCATCAAGAACTTCGTTTGTGCTACAGCAGATGGCATTGTGCTGGACTTTGATCTGTATCAAGGTAAAGGTGCACTGCTTGAGCAGGTCGAAGAAGAAGAGGTGGGCCTGGGGTTGGGAGGCTTAGTCTTGGCTCGTCTGTGTCAAACTCTGCATCGTGGCACGAAAGTGTATTGTGACCGGTTCTTCACAAGCATCCGATGTGTGTAACAAATGATGAAGAAGGAGATGTACATTACTGGTACAATAATGAAGAATCGACTCGCTGGCACGAAGGAGAAGCTACCCTCTGACAAAACCATGAAAAACACAGGAAGAGGTATACCTCATCAGAACTTTCCACTGAAGACGGAAAGTTGTGTTTAGTGAAGTGGTACGACAACAAACCAGTATTGATGATGTCTGTTGTTCATGGCACATAGCCTGAAGACACCTGCCAGCGCTGGGACAAGAAATTGAAACAATATGTGAGTGTCTCGCGACCAAGCATTGTCCGTGAGTACAACCTCAAGATGGGTGGAGTTGATTTGATCGATAGAATGATTAGCTACTATCGCATGAGCGCCCGTACTAAGAAGTGGACGATGCGGATGCTAATGCACTTCACGGATCTGGCTTTAGCCAACAGCTGGCTACTCTACCGCAAAGACCTCGCAATATGTGCTGCACCAAAGAGGAGCATCATGCAGTTCCTTGAGTTCCGTACGGAAATGGCTATGACCCTCTTGGCCCAGCATCACGGTCAAGGAAGCGATGCAGACCTCTCTGAACAGTCAGAGGAAGAAGACAACTCAAATCAAGGGAAGAAACGTCCTGTGATGGCAGTGCCCCATGTCTCGGTCCGCAGGAGGGCGAATGCCCATCTCCCAGAGATGATCAGCCTGAAGAACGCGGTGCGCTGCAGGGTAGCAGGATGCACTGGAAGAACCCGAGTGCGTTGTGTGACCTGCAAAGTGTTCTTGTGCTTGCAAGGCGATCGCAACTGTTACACAGCCTTTCACACATAGGTGTGTACATGTTCCTAAAGAAAAGGGCATTCCTATTCATTTTTTTACATGACCAATGCAACATTTCACATAAGCCATACTGTAACTGTCCAAGTTTTTGTGACTTTTGTTTTTTCACAATGATGTTCAAAACACATACAATAGTAGCCTATGTGGTATTATTAGATGCAACAATGCAAAATGCTTTGAATGTTTTATATTTTGTTACAGGCATATGATGTCTTCCTGCAACTGTTTGTAGCGTTTTAAATGAGCCGTACTGTGGTTGTGACAGTCCAAAAGGAGCAAAAATGCAGTGTTTTCATGTTGTTTTTTCTCTCAGATGTTCAAAACATGTTGCAAAACATGCAAAATGATGTGTGTATAAGTTATTAATACATGCAAAAGCAGCCAGGAAAAACTGCTGTGTTCAAGGTGGAAATAAAATAGTTGTTCACTCTATTACAAAAAGGTGACTTTAATGACTTTTTGGGAAATTCAGAACGAGTGTCCACATGTGGACATCATTTTTCTCTAAAAGTACATCATGTCAAAAGATGATACTTAGTTTGTATACTTATCAGGTTCCAATAAGCCCAAATAGCAAAGAGAAATAAAAAATGCATATAAAAAAACAGCTTGGGTCTTAGGAGGACACTTTAAGGATTAAGAAAAATCAGGTGGCATAACAAATTCCGAGGGGTGCGCGTGGACCCCTATTTCCATCTAGACAATTAAGGATTGTTTGTCTGAAATGCTTAGTTACATTTTGCAATAACACTTTTGCAACCCTGTGTTTAATATGATTAATTCCCTTTTTTCTTTTTCTCTTGTTTTTCTCTGTAATTAGGACAATTCTGGAGAAATGAATCTGCTGGAGAAGGACCCCTAATCTGAAAAGTGCACAGCGGATCATCAGGACAGAGCTGCCATCCACCTGGACCCCCCGAGGTGCTGGAGAAGGACCCCTAACCCCAGCGGATCATCAGGACAGAGCTGCCATCCACCTGGACCCCCCGAGGTGCTGGAGAAGGACCCCTAACCCCAGCGGATCATCAGGACAGAGCTGCATCCACCTGGACCCCCCGAGGTGCTGGAGAAGGACCCCTAACCCCAGCGGATCATCAGGACAGAGCTGCATCCACCTGGACCCCCCCCGAGGTGCTGGAGAAGGACCCCTAACCCCAGCGGATCATCAGGACAGAGCTGCATCCACCTGGACCCCCCGAGGTGCTGGAGAAGGACCCCTAACCCCAGCGGATCATCAGGACAGAGCTGCATCCACCTGGACCCCCCGAGGTGCTGGAGAAGGACCCCTAACCCCAGCGGATCATCAGGACAGAGCTGCATCCACCTGGACCCCCCGAGGTGCTGGAGAAGGACCCCTAACCCCAGCGGATCATCAGGACAGAGCTGCCATCCACCTGGACCCCCCGAGGTGCTGGAGAAGGACCCCTAACCCCAGCGGATCATCAGGACAGAGCTGCATCCACCTGGACCCCCCGAGGTGCTGGAGAAGGACCCCTAACCCCAGCGGATCATCAGGACAGAGCTGCATCCACCTGGACCCCCCGAGGTGCTGGAGAAGGACCCCTAACCCCAGCGGATCATCAGGACAGAGCTGCATCCACCTGGACCCCCCGAGGTGCTGGAGAAGGACCCCTAACCCCAGCGGATCATCAGGACAGAGCTGCATCCACCTGGACCCCCCGAGGTGCTGGAGAAGGACCCCTAACCCCAGCGGATCATCAGGACAGAGCTGCATCCACCTGGACCCCCCGAGGTGCTGGAGAAGGACCCCTAACCCCAGCGGATCATCAGGACAGAGCTGCATCCACCTGGACCCCCCGAGGTGCTGGAGAAGGACCCCTAACCCCAGCGGATCATCAGGACAGAGCTGCATCCACCTGGACCCCCCGAGGTGCTGGAGAAGGACCCCTAACCCCAGCGGATCATCAGGACAGAGCTGCATCCACCTGGACCCCCCGAGGTGCTGGAGAAGGACCCCTAACCCCAGCGGATCATCAGGACAGAGCTGCATCCACCTGGACCCCCCGAGGTGCTGGAGAAGGACCCCTAACCCCAGCGGATCATCAGGACAGAGCTGCCATCCAGCTGGACCCCCCGAGGTGCTGGAGAAAGCAAAACGGCGGTCAGGAGCATCCTCCACCCAGACCTCTGCTTACTGCCGTCCTACAGACTTGTGTCTTACTTTCAGAATTTGATTTTGTATGTGTCTTTTCTTTTAATAGATATCTAACGATTATAGCTTGAGTCTGTCTGATTCCCCAAACAGCTGCTTCTATATACTTGCTGCACATATAATACAAATTAACAACTCCATAAACACACTTTTGCTGATATTTGTGTTACTGCCGGTGATGTTAAATAATATGATTGATTTCCTCTGTCTCAATGATGAAAGTTATAATAATAGAAGACATGAAGCTTCAGAGAGAGGATGGATATATTCTTACCTCTACTTTGTGATAAGATGAAAATACAATATTAAATTGTAATTGTTAAACACATTGTTTATTTCATTTACTGAGGTTTTAAAGATTATTTACAACATGTGTACATAAGCAGTGGAATAATAGGATATCTCTAGGTCATTAAACTGTCTTCAGTTTAATTTTATTAATACAAGAAATAGGTCATAGAAAATGTTTAATTGTGTATTTCAGCAGAGCGGGGGGCACGGTGCTGCTGGACCTGGAGGTGCTGACCTGGGGTCAGTGGGACATCATCTGGGCAGGGTTAGGGGAAGAAGGAGAATATAAACTGTTATAATCACAGCTATTAAGATTAGAACACTAATATTGTTAACAATCAATCTATACAACATGCTTTTGTTCCATTAAAAAAACATATTGTTTTATTAGTACAGAAAAATTAAGACTTATTTTAAATATATTAAATAATATGATTAAATTACATCAGCTATATATCATTTACTTGTTAACTTACTGATGTAACATGACTGGGGGCTAAAGGAACAGCTTCATCTTATTTATCTGGCCATGGTTCTCTTTATTTAATCTCCGACGGTGATCTCCAAACATTTTAAAAGTAAAGTTTCTGGATCCTTTTCAGCTAATTTGCTAGCAGGCTGCTTGAGCAACGCAACCGAACAGCGCGTATCACGTGACGTAAATACGAAGCGCTCCGTAGGCTAGACCGTCTCATTTCGTAGGCCGCTCGGTCCAGCCTACGCGGTCTCGTCGGCCGCATCCTGCGTCGACCGCGTAGGCTGCGTACCTCGAAGGATACAACCCCTGAATTGAGACACGGCCTACGACTTCAGCCTTGGTTAAAGTTGCGCATGCGCTATGAGCGAACATACGGGTACTTCTCAGGCATGCCGGGTAATCTGTGACGTTTCGCTCTCTCGAAAGTTGGGCCATTTTATCATCATACGCTAATGAGCAACTCTCATAGGAATGAATGAGGCCCCGCCTCCCAGCTGTATCCAGTTCTTATTATACATCCATGGTCTCGTCGCTAAGATTCTTTCTCTGTGTTCCTGAGAAAGTGTGTGTGAGCTCCAGCTCTACTGATCCACCATCTGTGTGTCTGGATAAACCTCCGAATGGACTGTGTGCTCTTTTTTCTGGAGCGTTTACCTCGGACTATAGGAGCTAGCTTAGCATGCTAGCTGGAAACACGTTAGCAACACTAGTCAGATTGAGAGTTTGATGCAGAGAGAAACGGTGTGTTTAACGGAGTCTGCAGGAAAAGGTGATCTAGGAAACATGAGTAAAGTCCAAATGCTGCTGTCGTTGAAGAAGCAGCGACTCACTGCTGCTAATGAAGAGATATTTGCTCTGTTTGAACAAACAATAGCAGAGCTCGAGGAGGAGCTGTTTCTTTCCAAAGAGGAGAAGAAGAGACTCCAGAAGCTACTGGACGCTGTTTTACAGCCTCAGCTTCGGATACACAGAGCAGGTCTGTTCCCTTTACCCTTCATTAACACTTTACACTCTTCAGTAGCACTTTATTATCACATTAATAACACTTTAGACCCTTTATCAGCACTTGCTGCAGGCAGTAGATCCTGAAGTAAAAGTACAAACACCACACTGTGAAAATACTCCATTACAAGTTAAAGTACTGCATTCATATCTTATTTAAGTAAAAATATGTAAGTATTATTATACACATGTACTTTTTTATAATAATTAAAATGTATTACGGAAGAGCAAACCTACCAACAATAAATATATTTATAAAAATACATATATTGAATAATATGTATTTTTAATGTACTGATTTAAATATGACTCATGCATGTGGGCACTAGTTGGTTAAATGTGACATAGTTTAGTTTAGTTTTTTTCGTTGAGCGGCCCAGACCAAGCAAGGAGGCAGAGGCAGAACGTCCAAAAATGTAACCCGACGTGGGCATTTATTAAAATATGAACACATTACACACAGCTTCAATCCTGCTGCTGCTGCTGCTGTTCACGTGAGCCCAGCCTGCAGCCACCAGGATCTCACACACACACCCACTCCCTAAAAGACAGGGAAACAGAGCCTAAATACCCACACACTAATCAGCAACTAGACACAGGTGAGGGGGTAGGAGACAACACAGGGCACCAGGTACACACAATCCTTTAATAAATACTATCTCAATAATTAGTATTTAAAATGTGCAAATGCCATACCAAACGGTACTGTGCAATCACGCTAATAAAGTGCAAAACTGTTCACTAAAGTGCTGAGTTACCAGGGCCGAAGCCGTCAGTTCACAGTGACGAAGTTACCTTCGTCACAAAGTCGTATTGCACTTTTTTGTAGAATAAATAGGGATTGTGTTGTAGTTTTATAATTACTGCCCCAAACCTCTGCACAGTAACTTAAATAAGAATGAATATGTTTTAAGTGAGGTTTCCAGCTCAGTTTCTCATCAATTGTGATTCCAAAGAATTTATGTTCTTTAACTCTCAATGAAAATCCCATCTATCTTAATGGATGCTAGTGTATTGCTATTTCCAAATATGATTAATGTTATTTTATTCAAGTTTAATGATAACTTATTACTGTTTAGCCATAACTTTAGTTTGCATATTTCAGCTGTGATCTCTTCCAATAGTAGCTGTGCATTGTCCCAGAACAAAATATATTAGTGTCATCAGCAAACAAAAAAAACTTGAGTACTGTCGATACATTGCATATTTCATTAATATACATAATAAGTAGTTTCGGCCCCAATACTGACCCCTGGGGGACACCGCATGTAATGTCCAAATATGAAGAACAACACTCTCCCAGCTTCACAAACTGTTGCCTGTTGGTTAAATAACTCCTTACCCATTCCAAAACTACACCCCTGATTCCATAACGTTCCAGTTTCTTTATTAATATGCCATGATTAATTGTGTCAAATGCTTTTTTTAGGTCAATGAATATTCCAATGGCATGTTTCTTTTGGTCAATTGAGCTAGTCATTTCTTCAAGTGAGTCTATTAAAGCCATCGATGTTGATCTATTGGCTCTGAATCCGTGTTGACTTTCGGTGAGAAGTTTGTGTTTTTCTATGAAATCGTCTGTTATTGAAAAGCTTTTCAAGAATGTTTGATAATTGTGGTAGAAGTGAGACAGGTCTATAGTTTGTGAAGTGATGTTTGTTCCCAGCTTTGAACAAAGGTATGACTTTTGTTGTTTTCATTTTGTTAGGAAATGCACCAGTTTGGAATGATAAGCTACATATGTGTGTGAATGGTTTTGAAATAACATCTATAACTTTTTTTAATGCAGTCATGTCAATGTCATCACAATCTGTAGATTTTTTGTTTTTACATTTCGTTACAATATCAACTACTTCCCTTTCATGCACTGCTGTGAGGAACATTGAGAAAGGATTAAGTGTTCCAGTTTTTTTCCTGATGTTCCTCCATCAGGGATTTTGCCTGCTAATTCAGGTCCACCATTTACAAAGAAATCAAGGCAAGGCAAGTTTATTTATATAGCCCCTTTCAACACAAGGCAATTCAAAGTGCTTTACAAAAAACGAAAGACATTAAGAAAATGGCATTTAAAATCAGTCATTAAAAAGAAAAGAAAATAAACAATAAAATAAAAAATACATGGTTAAAAGTTACAGTGCAGTTTAAGATGTGAATAGTTCAATTAAAAGCAGTTTCAAAATCATTGAAACTGTTGGATACAACATCCATATTTTCCTCTTCCTTATCCTTGTCAATGAAGAATGTAGGATAACTCCTTTTTCTAGACCCATTTTTTTATAATACTATTCAGTATGCTCCATATTCCTTTTAATGTTGATTTTATTTTTGTCTAGTATTTTCCGATAGTATTCACTTTTGTAGGTCCTTATTATAATTGTTAATTTATTTTTATATTTTTTATATCTAATCTCTGTCTCTTTTGTTTTATTTCGCATTAAATCTCTATACAATGAATTTTTCTTTTTACAGGCATTTTGTAAACCCCTTGTGATCCATGGACATTCTGCATATTTCATTTATCTACTGTATTTGACAATTGGGCAGTATGTATTATATAATGATCAAGAATTGATCATATGCACTGTCAATATTGTTTTCTTTGTATAAATCATCCCATCTTTGTGCTAAAGCGTTCATTGCTTCCTCTGATCTAACTCGTTTGTATTGAATGGCTTTGTCCGGCATGTTATTACTGTAGTTTCTGTCATAAACTGCAAATACTGTTAGGTGGTCACTTATATAATTTATTAATAATCCACTTACTGTGTTGTTTTCTCTGTCATTTGTGAATATATTGTCTATGAGAGTAGCACAGTGCGATGTGATTCTGCTGGGTCTAGTAATGTTTGGATATAAACTCATGCTGGACATTGTGTTGATGAATTCTTCTGTCATGCTGTGATTATTTGGATTTAGAAGGTCAATATTGAAGTCACCACAAATGAAAACTGTTTTATGAATCACTTTTGACAATATTTCCTCCATCCAGTCCTTGAAAATCTCAATACTAGAGCCGGGTGCTCTATATATACTCTAGTATATATAGAGTGAATATATATATATAATATCTATAGTGCTCTGGACATACATTGATACTTTAGTTTTAATGTGCTTCTTTATTCACCTTTTCTTTTAAATTGTGTAAAAGCAAATAAAAACAAATACTTTGGATTAATTGAAATTGTGGGAGGATAATTCATAAAGAAATCAATGAATACATATTAGGGATTCTATCGATCGGCCACCGACCGATATCGGCCGATACTCACTCTCTACCGATCGATCGGGCTCTCTAAAAATGCCGATCGCGAGAGCCGATCGCATGACGTAAAATGATGACGTAAAATACATGACACTTTTCTCTGTGCGCGGCAAAACAAGCTCACCAAAATGGCTTCACCAGTCTGGCAGTATTTTAAGGTGTCTGAAAAGGACAATAAAATAGCGGTATTGAAGAAAACTGATGCTCCCAGGAGAGAAACTTAAAATAAAAAGACAAATGGAGTCTCTGAGAAGGTTCATATGTGTTTGAAGTTCTCATAAACGAGTCATGTTTATCATAGAACTTGGTTTAATAACCTTAATAGTGACGGAGCAACATTACATACACATGGCAGTTATCACAACACTACTCGAACCCCGCCTCTAGATCCCTACATCCGGTACGGTGCCTGCAGAAGGACAAAAGAGACCAAATGCGAATACTCTACATTAGGGCTGAACGATATACCGTGTCATGGCGATAACCGCGATATGCGCATGCGTGATATTCAAACCGCAGGGACGTGCGGTTTTATTCATTTAAAAAAAAAAATGCCGACGCACTTTAGCACAGAATTCAAAATAAAGATACCCTTATTACTTATCGAAACTGCACATACAATATATCTGAATTAAAGCTGAGACTCCACAGATTATTTAAGTATAGTATCTTAGCGATCCGATCTCGCGACAGGGAAGCAAACACAGACAACACAACACGTACCTTTACGGAGCTTTTACGGGAGATTGTCTCACCGTAGCTGTCAATCTGATCAAAAGACGTGTTCAATGGCATTAAAACGAGAAAAAATGCGGATGAATCGGTTTATCCATAGGTTAATAATCAGGGCTCGACATTAAGGACTGCCCGATGGCCCGGGGCCATCTAGTATTTAGCTCGGGCAATGAAGCCTCACCTGCTGGTTGCCCGATCGGGCAATCTATTGTGCCAGTATCATGCAGCTCGCGGATCCAGTAATGAGTGACCTGACAGTAAAACTAAACATATCTATAACTAGTTTAGGTAGTTTGAGAGGTAATTAAAATAGCTACGTGTGATATTCTAAC